ATGCAGGCAGAAATTGGTGATATGGCCCTTGAAATAAGAAAAGTGCATATTGAAACAGCTTTTCTGCTAAGGGCCTTACCAATTTGGTGCCCTGCAGAGGAGTTATAGCCCAAGAAAAAAGTTTCATTCTTACATGGCTGAAGAGCCAGAGGTCAGAATTCAGAGTTGTCAGAGCAGCTAGATTTTTAACGAAAATCCTGAAAAAGAGGGAGCCAGAGAAGGGGAGACACAAAATTTACACACAACAGCCCCCTAAATCCTTCCCTAAATTGTAAACCGTAGGAGGAAAAACAAGAAGAAAGCCACAGCTGAAAAGCTAAAAGAGATGCAAGGAGATTTCAGCAACTTCTTGATGCACAGGACACAGAGTCTGGAGTTTAAGTCCAGTGATGTCATAGGATTTATTTTGGCCAATGTCTTGGACTTTGCCTGGAAAGTTCACATATTAGGAATGAGAACCACAAACCAGACTAAGGACTATGCCTTAGAACTATGGAAGAACACTTAATATATCCTCCATAGGTTTTAGGTGGTCCTTCAATAATTTCACTGTCTGCCAAAATAAAAACCAACCTTTTTCCAAATCCAGAGTCTCTAAAATGTATGAAACTCAATGTCCAGTATTCAATAAAAATTATTATATATATAAAACATGCAGAATGTGGTCCAGAATCAAAGGAAAAACCAGAAATATACGTAGACCCACAGAAGACTAAGATATTGGAGTTAGCAGACTTTAAAATAAATATTATAAATATATGAGAGAATTCACAGGATTATACACACACACACATTACATATAAGTAAATATAGATACTGCACATACATGTATGTACATTACATATACACATACATATATGTGCATATGTAGGTATATATGTAATGCTATGGGTTTTTTCATATTTACATATGTGATCCTGTAAATTATTTAATATACACACATACACATCATATATGTATATAATATTATACACACAGGGATATAATAAAAGAAAGGGAATTTCAGGAAGGATATAGGAAGTTCTAAGAAAACCAAATGTAAATCTTAAAATGAAAAATACATTTTTGCTAAAACAATTCATAGTATGGATTTCAAGGAAATTGGACACTGTAGAAGAAAACACCAGTAACTTGAAGACAGATGAGTAAAAATAATCAAAACTGAGTAAGACAGGAAAAAAAGATTTAAAAATAAACAGAACTCAATAACCTGTAGAACAATGTTAAGAGGTCTTTATATATGTACTGCAGTCCAAGAAAGAGATAAATAAGAGAATGGGGTTGAAAATTAGAATACTGGCCAAAAATCATCCCAAATAGTTGAAGTCTTGAGAAACTTAAATCATTAAATCACATCCCTTTTATCGTACACCTCTCAAAACCATCATATTGGTTTTGTCCCAATAATTTATTTCCATTCACTTTTCTAAAGACTTGTGGTTATGAGACTGTATAAAAATATAGTAGATAGGATGTTATCTATTTTAAAAAGTGAAAAGGTAAATAATGTTACATTTTGCTAAATAAAGAATTAACATTTGAGATGTCAGAGATGAATCTGATTAAAATGGGCCTAGGAAAAGAATAAAGGATCAAAAAAGAAAACTCTTTTTCATCTGTATAGTTCAACTTGTGATGAGAATGGTGAATAAGATACCAAGCAACAAACAAATTTGTAAATGACTTCTGTCATGTTAAAAAGGAAAATACTTCACTTAAGACATTATGCAACTTTAACTGAATAACAGTAAAGAATATATAAAAATAAAAACTTAAACATCAAAATACACCTTCAAAAACAATCTCTTTATGTGTCAGGACAGTAATGAATAGTTTCTTACCAATGAGTCAAAATAAAATTATGTGAATATGTGAGACATCTTACTATCTAAAAAAGCAATCTCACTTCTTTACTGATAAATTTTAGTTATTTGAACATATGGTTCCAATCTTGCTTACACCTTTTTAAAAATGCCTAATCAATCACTCTTTGAAATATGCACTGTCCCATCATTTGGTAATGTCTAAATAATATCTGGGATAAGAGTGGGTAAAAGTAGACTAAAGTTAAAAATTGTAGAAAATATTACTTTCATATTAAAATTTTAATTTCTCATAACCTAATTTCTTTCATACATGACCAGTGAGCATGTGGCCCTTTCTACAGATGTTTTAATGCATAGAACCCTCTTATTTTGCCCCATACAGAAATACTGGTGTAAGAAGAAGCCATCTATTTCAAATACTTTACCTAATTCCTTTACTAGGGAAACCATTCAAACCCTATAATCAAGGTTGCCTGGACTTCTGTCTCAAAAAGAATTAAGAAAATATTAAAGTTAGTTATAAGATATATGAAATAATTATTATTAGAGTGTTTTTTAAAATATTTCCTTACATGTTTAAAATTATAAATTACAAATGTCCATGGAAATGAAGTACTTTTTTGAATCATTTGAATTTACAAATTTAAAATAGGAAACCATTAGCACAGAAAACAGAATTCCAACAACACCAGTAAATATCCATATATATTCAATAAGCTCATAGCCTCAGCTCACGGCCTTGGAGATTGAATTACCAACATATTCTATTATGCAGATGTAGAGAATAAATGAGGGATTATTATACATTTTTGATGATAACTGTTCATGCATATGTTCCATCAAATATGTTAATGACCATGATTTTTGACCAAATAAGACATACTTATAAATAAATCCAATATTTACTCTCTCCATGAAAAAAAAAAACCTTGAAGGAGGTCATTCTTATGAATGAATTTTTAAAGTAATTAATGTTTATTTATATATGTCTTAACTTGACATAGAACCCTCTTATTTTGCCATATACAGAAATACTGGTGTAAGAAGAAGCCATCTATTTCAAATACTTTCACTAATTCCTTTACTGGGGAAACCATTCAAACCTTATAATCAAGGTGGCCTGGACTTCTATCTCAAAAAGAATTAAGAAAATATTAAATGCTCATCATTGATGAACAATATATCCTCAGCCAATAGTAATGTCTTTAACTTTCTATTTCTAAGTGTTATTTCCTAATCTTCATTTCTTTTATGCATATGTACATATTTTTACTTATAGTCAGTCCTATACATTGTTAATAAATTATGATTACATTTTAGGTGTAAAACACCAATTTTTCCCATATGTTCAAATATTGAAAATCTATTTTATTAGAGGTTAGTTGGTAGGTAGTGACAAGACTGAATGGTGCAACATGAAACCATATTACCCATGAATGAATTTAATACTATTAATGATTAAGTAGCAGAGGAGCCATTTGGGGATGATTAAATATTAAAAGCTACAAACTTGACTAAGTCAAATTAATTGCATGAAAATCTATGATACATGTAGCTACCTAGAAAGAACTCTATTCTCATTGTTCTTCACATACACTATTCTTAATTCACTGGGGAGGAAAAAAGTAATGAAAAGTGTTGGTAGATTTAAGAGTTTCAGATATTAAGTCATCAAAACTAGTTACTACAATAGCAACTAGAATAAGTATTAGCATTAGTAACCTATAAACTTAAACTATAAGAATTAGTACAAATTGATTTACATTAGTAAACTTCATGTACTAACCCATGATCCTACATTGTGATTTAGAGAGAATGTACTTAGTAGATTACAGTGACCCGAAAGAATAGACACTAAATGAGTCCACATAAAATTCATAATAGTGTAATTACTACAACAAAAGATGATGTTAAAGCCAATGCAAATAACAGTGGGTAAATGTTTACTCTGTGGAGAAGCTGAAAAAAATGAGTGCTGTAAAATTAGTGTTTAAATAATACCACCCAAGTATAAGAGACTGTAGCTAGTGAAAATAAAATTCTAGTCATCAGAGACATTATTTTAAAAAGGAGTGAAGGTAATTCTCTAGGCTTTCCTATGACTAAATATCCCATAAGACCTATTCTTTGCTCTAATTCTCTATTCATCAAATAGCCTTCTGATATATAATTTAGTCCTCTATTCAGCAGGGAGAATGTGATCCATGTAGACAACAGTCATTTGTTACGTTGCCAAATATATTTCCCATGATTGATAAATGACATGGCTTTTGTGCTTATAAATTTATACTTCTGCAATTTGTTTAATGTCAATCAATTCTCCATTACTTCACAAAAAAAATGTTGCTAAGCCTGGAACGTGCTGACTCCATGAAGATAAAATTATCCCATGAACACTACACAAAGAAGCAAGCAGACAACCCCCCCCCCTTATAATAGACACATCAAGAAAACAAATTAGATTCACAGGAACAACAAACCAATAATGCCACTTTTCAGTCTAGAAAACATTTCCAAGTTTCTTTTAAGATTCTCTGAATTGATCAAATTCTCATTTGATCCTTTGGACTGTGTATAATTCAGGGTAAAATGCAAATACTGATGATGATAATAACAACAACAATAATCACATCAGTTTATATTCCTGAGAATATTTAACTTTTATAACCACCCTTAATGTAGGTATTATTTCCTGAGGAAATGAGGAAAGTGAATCACGGAGAGAAAACCTACCTGAAGTCATATGGCTCTTAAGTGAGAGAATCAAATTCTAAACTCATGTTTGTTTGACTAATGCTCATAGTCATGGTTTCAACCACTATGCTATACTTGCCATCCTCCATATTTATAAAATACTTGGCATAATGAAGATGGAAATCATAATTTCAGATATGTATAGCTACATGACCAAATTTTACTATAGCTGCTATCTCATTTTTACATAAGTTTCCAGTAGCCAAAATTAAAACATAACTGTTTCATTTGGGGTCGTACTGTGATAAATGAATGCTATAAATATAACCTTGTTTTAGTGTATCAATTTAAAACCATCAATAGCTATGAAAACACTGATAGATGCTTGTTAATACCCATAATGGGATCTTCAAATTCTATGACATATATATCATTCAAGATAATTCAATAAAGGTCTGATAAATCTCACTGAAAACTTACTTTGCAACCTCCTTGTTGGGCTTTCTCCATGGAGCTGTCGTCGCGGCATATATGGAGAAGGGTGGGGAAGTGGTAATGAAGAAACATCATGGGTCTGAAGTTTGTACCAATGTGGCTCATCATCTAATAATGCTGTTTCTAATTCAATTAAAATCTACAAAGTCAAGAGACAAAATAACATTATATATCTACAATACAGAAACTCCCTTAAATGGTCTCATAACTTTTATAATAATGATAATTATAATAATAATGTTGTTAGGTCAAAAGCAACGTCATGTTACAAAATTGTCCATATGTTTTGACAATAACTAAATAAAAGATAAATATGCATAACTTCTTATTGACTTAATAATTTTAAATATCTAGATATTTTATAGACCTCCGACCACCCACCTACTGCTAAATTTGCCATTACATAAAAACACTACAAAAAAGAAAAAAAAAAACTACAGGCCAATATCTCTGATAAACATAGATGCAAAAATTCTCAATAAAATATTAGCAAACCAAATCCAAAAATGCATTAAAAAATCATTCACCACAATCAAGTGGGATTTATTCCTGGGATGCAGGGTAGTTCAATATACACAAATCAATCAGTGTGATACATCATATCAATAAGAGAAAGGAAAAAAACCATATGATCATTTCAGTAGATGCTGAAAAGCATTTGACAAAGTACATTCATGATAAAAACCCTAAACAAAGTAGGTCTAGAGGGAACATACCTCAACATAATAAAGGCCATATATGAAAAAACCTACAGCTAACATCATATTCAAAGGTGAAAAACTGAAAACTTTTCCTGTAAGATTAGAAAAAAGACAAAGATGTCCACTCTCACCACTGTTATTCAACATAGTACTAGAAGTTCTAGCCACAGCAATCGGTCAAGAAAAAGAAATAAAAGGCATCCAAATTGGTAAGGAGAAGCAAAATTTTCACTATTTGCTGATGACATGATACTATATATAGGTAATCCTAAGGATTAACAACAAAATACTAGAACTGATAAATTCAGTAAGGTCACAGGATACAAAATCAAAATACAGAAATCTGGTACATTTCTATACACTAATAATGAAGTAGCAGAAAGAGAAATTAAGAAAACAATCCTATTTACAATGGCACAAAAAATAAAAAAATACCTAGGAATAAACTTAACCAAGGAGGTGAAAGACCTGTACTCTGAAAACTGTAAAACACTGATGAAAGAAACTGAAGATGACACAAACAAATGGGAAGATATTCCATGCTCATGGAATTGGAAGATTATTATTAAAACATCCATATTCCTAAAGCAATCTATGGATTTAATGCAACTCTATCAAAATACCAACAACATTTTTCAAAGAACTAGAACAAATCATCCTAAAATTTATATGGAACCACAGAAGACTCCAAATAGCCAAAACAATCTTGAAAAAAGAAAAACAAAAATAGAGGTATCAAATACCCGATTTCAAGATATGATAATCAAAACAGTATGGTGCTGGCAAAAAATAGATACATAGATCAATGGAACAGAATGGAGAATCCAGAAATCAACCCACAAATATATGGTCAATTAATCTTCAACAAAGGAAGCAAGAATATATAATGGGAAAAATACAGTCTCTTCAACAAATGATGTTGGAAAAACTGGACATCTACATGCAAAGAACGAAACTGGACCACTTTCTTACACCATACACAAAATCAAAATGGGTTAAAGACTTAAATGAGACCTGAAACCATAAAGATCCTAGAGGACAGCATGGGCAGTAATTTCTCTGACATGGGCCATAGCAACATTTTTCTAAATATGTCTCCTAAGGTATGAGAAACAAAAGCAAAAATAAACTATTGGAACTACATTAAAACAGAAAGCTTTTTCACAACAAGGGGAAACATTCAACAAAACAACAAAGCAACCCACTGAACGGGAGAAGATATTTGCAAATGATATATGCAGCAAATATCAAAAATATATAAAGAACTTATGTAATTCAACACCAAAAAACCCAAATAATCCAATTTAAAAAATGGGCAGAAGACATGAGCAGACATTTTTCCAAAGAAGACATACAGATGGCCAATAGACACATAAACAGATGCTCAACATCACTAATCATCAGGGAAATGCAGTTTTCCCATCACAGAAATAATGCTTATTACTGCAAGTCTGTAATAACTAATATTTGTATATCATTTGATAATTTAAAAAACATTTTTATTTACATTTATTAATTTAACCTTTGCAAAAACTCTTAAATGGGGAGACGAAACCAAATTAGAAGTGTCTACTGTATGCTAAGAACAATGTCATATATTATCTTAATTCTCAGAAAGAAACTGCTAGATTGGTCTTATTCAACTTTTACAGATAAGGATACCAAGGCTAACAAAGGTTAAAAGAACTTGTCTAAGCTCAGACTAGCTGGTAAGTGAAAAAGGTGTAATATGAATCAAAGTCTGTCTTATTTAAAACTCTTGGGTTCAACATATCATGCCACTAGGAATTCAAAACAGGAAAGAAAGTGAAGAATAGATTTTTAATACGAACCATATCATAATATGGATTTTATAATATGAATATTTAATAAATTTACAAAGGAAATCAGCCCACAGGAATAAATGACTCTTTTTATTTCCTTTTAGGGTCCTGTGCAAACATGATAGTGTTTGTGATTATGTATATGAGAACTGTTGTGTAATGATAAATCACTATTTAGCTCTGGGACCTAAATAGAACCGTATTAACTGCCACAAATGCAATACATTTGTGAAACACAAACCAACCTTTCAGCATCAACACTGAGATTTCTACAATAGGAATAAACATCTAAAATTTGTCACAGATTATTTAGAAGCCATTTTTTATGGCATCAATGTTTTGTCTTAGAGCAGTAGCTAAATACATTCCATGAAAGAAACTGTTGACTTTTCCAGATATTCAAAATATAAGATTTTACTGATAATCACATAAAGAAAAGTATTTAAGAGGACATGAATAGTCTCAGCTTTAAAATTCCAGATACCTCTCCTAAGAATTCACTTTCTTCCTCTCGAACTCGAGCTTGATCCCAGAGAGTAATCTCTAGCATTCGTTCCCTAAATTCTCTTCGGTGGACTGGAGAATAAATGAATGTTTGGTTCCATTTGGGTTCCAATGTTTTCTTTACTGTTTTAGTTCTTCTCTTGTTTTTATCACTATAAAAAAGATAAGAACATATGAACTTAAACCTTTAAGTTTTGCCCTAAAAATTATTCATTTAAAATTTCTCAGGCAGGGAGTAAAATTTTACCACAATTTATCATATAATATAAATATTATAATCATTTAAATTCTTACTAAAACTTATAAGGATATAATTACATCACTTTATAAAGGCAGTATTTCTTTTTTTTTTAAATTTTATGATGTTATGTTAGTCACCATACAGTACATCCTTAGTTTTTGATGTAGTGTTCCATGATTGTTTGCGTATAACACCCAGTGTTCCATAAGGCAATATTTCAATAAATCTGAAATCCTTCTATGATAATTAAAAACTTCATTTTTCTCAAAATCTAAATAAAACCAGACTGAAGAATATTAACTCTCTATATTTTTAAACATATTGCTCTATTGGAAACCTTCAAAATGGCAATGAACCAATAATATTACATATGCTACTCAAACTACAGAAGTGTAATTGCACAAAAGTCCAATAAATTGTGATGTTCACAACTTTTTATCCATATAGTTCAGCTGAGCAATTATAATTACATTTTATCAAGTTACTTGCTTCCATAAAGAAATACAAACTTGTCCATTTGATAGTTATCAGGTCTTTAAAAGCACTGTAGAATTATTTCTTTTTTTTTTCTTTTTTTAGAGAGGGTGGGGGAGGGGTAGTGGGAGAGAGAGAACCTTAAGCAGGCCTCACACCCCATAGGGCTCCACACAGGGCTCCATCTCAGGACCCTGAGATCATGACCTGGGCTGACATCAAGAATCAGCTGCTTAACCAACTGAGCCACCCAGGTGCCCCTGTATTTTTAACTTTCTGAGGAACCTTTATACTGTTTTCCATAATGGCTACACCAGTTTATATTCCTACCACCAACACACAAGGTCCCCGAAGAGTCAGATGCTTAACTGACTGAGCCACCCAGGCGCCCCTGTAAAATTATTTCTATGTGAGGTCACCACTATAATGTGGGCTGGAAATTCAAGCTGGCCATCCCTAATAGATGGGGCTTCCAGCTCAGAAGCTTCTGTACTTTTTTTGACTGCATATTTCTATCAAGTGAATGTTTTTGACAAAGCATCCCACTATATCCATATATATTTATGAAATATATACATGTATTACTGTACTGTTGTACTAATATATTGTGTCGATTTGTGAATATACAAAATTAAAATTAATTAATTTTTCAAATTAAAATTAAATTAAAAATAAGTAGGTAAAAATTTAGAAAATTCAAATATTTCTTCCTGAACTCCAAGGGATTGTCTTAGACATCCCCTGGGTGCATCCATTCCTTTTGGAGATCACTATTCTAGCTTATTAGAGAGGATCAATGGCTAGATGGGAATAAAGAAAATCATCTGGGAAGAAAACATTAAGCTATCTAGAGAGCTTATTTGAAGTGAGAAGTGGACCATAAACTCCAAGAAGAACTGTATTAACTGCCACAAATTCCCTCAGCACAACACAATTCTAAGACTGTTGGAATATAGGAAGCAGGGAGAACCAAGAAAGGACAGGGTGTGTCTGGATTGGGGAGGCTATGCAACTTCTTCTCTTAGGTAAATACAAGGCTTAATGCTCAATACAGATTGGATTTAACTAATCAAGAGCACATATGTTTCCAGAGCTCATATATTTAATGTGGCAGAAAGCCAGTTTAAAACAATGTATCTTTATTAATTTCTATGGTCTTGTTAGGAAAATAACTTTGCAAACCCATGTAGGAAATTTTAACTCTATGCCATGTTATGGAAACGTATTATAAATAAAAATAACTAAATAATAGGAATAATAACAAGGACTATGATTTCTTACTCCTGTCATCTCCTCTCTTCATCTAAAATTTTCACAAATATTTATAAAGCATCTACATATATTCCACACTTTAAAAAATTAATTATGAGATCCTGTGAAGAGAGAAAGTTCCCTCCTTTAAAGCCAGGAAGAAAGCATTTAGTGGGAGCCTTGTTGTATAATTCAACAACGGTTTATACTGCAATCTGAAAGGGAATAGAAGAATAAACCTTGACTTCCTCTTAAGGAGTGAAAAAAGTTCTCTGATAAAGAGGACTATTTCAGAAGGGATTTCTATACTGGGTAGGAGGGAGATGGGACAATCACTGAAATTCCTCACACATCCACCATGTACAATTAACATTTAATAAGGTAATTTAGTGTGTACTGAACCACCAATCCATGCAAAGAACCATGAAAAATTATCTTCAGCAAGTTAAAAAAAAAGTACATGAGTTTTTCTTCTATAAGTATAACAAAAACCTTCAAAATAACATCAGGTTAAAAGGGGGGGCAGGTCAGTCAGTGGAACATGCAACTCTTGATCTCGGGGTTGTGAGTTTGAGCCCCATGTTGGGCATACAGATTAGTTAAAAATAAAATCGCTAAAAAAACAAAGACATAGACATTGGCGAGGGTATGTGCTATGGTGAGCACTGTGAATTGTGTAAGACTGTCGAATCACAGACCTGTATCTCTGAAACAATACATTATATGTTAAAAAAAAAGAAGAAGAAGAAGAAGACAGCAGGAGGGGAAGAATGAAGGAGGGGAAATCAGAGGGGGAGACGAACCATGAGAGACTATGGACTCTAAGAAACAAACTGAGGGTTCTAGAGGGGAGGAGGGTGGGGGGATGAGTTAGCCCAGTGATGGGTATTAAAGAAGGCACGTTCTGCATAGAGCACTGGGTGTTCACGCAAACAATGAATCATGGAACACTACATCAAAAACTAATGATGTAATGTATGGTGATTAACATAATGTAATAAAATTTAAAAAAAAGAAACAAAATAGGATCAGGTTGTATAAGTCAAACACTGAAAAGTTGCTAAGAGTATTTAAAAACTAAGATCAATACGCGTACTATTGAGATTTTTTTTAATAGCAGCTCAACAACAGTAAAATAAATCATTGATCTCTAACAGCATCATTTACCTGTTAAGAATGGAAACCATTTTTTTTAAATAAAATCCAACCTAAAGCCTTTTCTATGTATTTTCATGCTACCAGTATTTTTGGTTTCCATTTAATTTACTAGAGTAACCGTATGCAAAGACTGATGTGTTCACTCAAAATGAGAGAAAGAAATGTATTTTGACTGAAAACCAACTTTACTTCAAGATATAAAAGAGTGGAAAGCACACCCAGCTATTTTTTAGAGTACATAGTTCATTACTTAGAAAATAATGTTTTGAATGGATTGACTAACATAGTGACATTCCAGTCTAAATCTCTTCAATGCAGTCTCACGTGTCCCTCCAGGAATTCTTATCGATAAAAAGGCATCAGTTATTTTCTACATTCACCTATTCAAATAGTTTTTCTCTCAGAAAAACTGTCATGAAAAATGGAATAATTCATTCCAAAAGCATAAAGAGTCCTTTATGCATGTGTAAAAACTTGTATCAACAGGGAAAAAAAAAACTGATGATAATGTAGCTGTTTCTGAGTTAACCAAAGAATTCTTTTCTCTTTTAAAGATAAAAAACCCTGGGGCTCCTGGGTGGCTCAGTCGGTTAAGCATCTGCCTTCTGCTCAGGTCATGCTCTCAGGGTCCTGGGATCAAGTCCCAGGTCCAGCTCCCTGCTCAGCGGGGGAGTCTGCTTCTCCCTCTCCTTCTGCTCATGTGCTCTCTCACTCTCTCTCTCTCCAATAAATAAAGATAAAACCCCAACACAACTTTATCAATCAATGAACTAAGCAAAAACTTGCTTAAATATTCTTCAAATTCCTGATACTAGACAAGAAAACAGCTGGGAAATGATTTGAGAATGAAATATTCCCACATTCTCTGGTGTTGAGAAAAGATAAAAAACACTACATTTAAAACATAAAGGAGTGGTGAAGGGGACCTTCCTTTCCATTTGAGATCTATCTGCTCAGAAAGGGGGAGAGGGTATGTAAAAGAAAATAAAACTAAACAGAAAGAGTCAATCAAATAATAAACTCCATAATTTGAAAGACTTTTATCATCTTCAAAAGTATCTTTCTTCAGAGATTTGAGTGAGTAGAAACTTAAGTTCTATGGACACATAAGAGCGTAGATGGGAAGGCAGCATGTCCTGCAGGTTGTTAGGATGGCATTCTAAGAATGCTTGGACTAGAAACCACGTGTGCGCTAACGAGCCAGGTGATGTGGCCTCCAGGATGGCAGGGTAATGTGCCTATGAAATCTGTCATCCAACTAAAGTTTAAGCTAGGTAAAAGCCCCAGTTATGAATATCCTCTTCTTCCTTTGCAGTTCCAAGTATATCCCTATCCAGAAGACAACCTAAGTTGTGAGAAAACAACTTTTCTTCAAGCAAACTTTGTAAGATAAAATTATATGGCAAATAGTTTCTAATCACTTTAGATGTGATAGCACCTTGACATATTTTCTGAGGAATTTTCTTCACAAATTTCACTTCAAAATAGGAATCACATAAGATATAAGGCCTTTGCTAATGGTCTACTTCCTTTCTTTTCTCCTTTTCTTTGAGATATTGTTCTTCAGATGATACTTGGGCACTCAAATCTGACAATTTTCAACTCGAACTAAGTACGTGAGGGTCCAGAAGTGTGCAAACGTGTTGAAGATCACATCTGTGCCTGGCCATTTCCAGCCTGAGAAAAAAATGACCAGACCTTGAAAGCACTCTGTCCTGGAAACCAGGGATGCAGAACAGCTGGGGAAAAGGTAATCGGTGCCCTTAATTCTTTCTTTTTTTCATGATGTCTATTCAATAGTCTCTTATTTTTTTATATTCCAGAAATTAAAAATGATTAGATAATTTTTGAAAAGCTATTTCTCCAAACCTAATTCCTCTGTTTAAATTAGGGCAGAACAATAGCATTTCTGCTAGTTAGCATGGACACAAACCAATGATGCTTGAAGAAGCTGATTCTGGGCCCAGTGGTAAAGTTTCCTGGATGATATGGTGTGGTGAAACATAAAACACTCATTAATTTTATGGAATATAAAGAAATGATATCTTAGTATGAGGAGGCAGAAGTTGTAAAGGAATATGATGAATACCTTTTAGTATCATTTCCAGCTTTTTGCTTCTGTAGATTGTCCTAAAAATGCACTTGATTTTAAAAAGTATAATTTTTAATGATTTTGATAAGTGAAAATATACATCATTTAAGAATCCATACAATGTAAAATAAATATTCAATAAAATCATCTATATTATAACATTTGATATGAATTATATGAATAATATGAATCATTATGCTTACGTTAAACTTCATAAATATCTGACTCGCATGATACATAAAAATAAAATAAGACAGAATTGAAACACCCACTGTTATTAACATTTCTTATTTATTTTCGAGAACATTTATTTTGTTTCACATCCCTACCTTCTGTCTGGAAGAAAGTAAATTTTAACATAAGGATTCCTTGGCCTCCCATCTTCCCTGGAAGGGAGATCCTTTGCTCCCAAAATTGTAACTATTAATTGATGACCAACCTTGTCAAACCACAGTTTTATCTGAAAAGCAAAAATATTCATTTATGAGCTCAAACTTTTATTGCCATAACATAATGTTTATATTTCCAATCTTTGCCCCATTCTCTTACAGTAATGTGAGCACAGAATATAAGTTCTACTTAGTAAGTTGCAGATAGTTAAAATAAAAGGATATGCTATAATAACTTCAATGAATAGAAGAAATAATTCAGATATTTTGGGTTGACTGATAAATCACTTGAGCTTTTTGTTATCCTAATTTGATTGCTTATTAACATGCATGTAATAATTATACTGCCATAACTAAGAACTTTCTATACAATGACTGCTCTGTGTCTATCTTTATGAAAGAATCACTGTGGTTCATTTTAGTTCCCCTACAATAATGAGTTCAAAATAATTGTTCAAATGAATTGAATAGATACCTTATTTATATGGCATTCATATGGAATTTTTAAGCAAATGTTTTAAAAGACAAAACATTTCATTTAAAAGACACTTCAAAGATTATAAGCAAGGTGGAATTATTAGTAGCTTTAGTCAATAGACTCCTTAAGTTTGTATTTAAAACCATAATAAATTCATCTTTATAGATTTTTCTTATACAAGATATAAAGTCCCTTTTTCATTAGTGAGGAAGATGTATCACATCCTTAGAATAACAGGGTATATTTTATCACTGGAGATGAGAAAATGTGAGTAATTTCCCTATGACATAATTAGGGATTAGAACTTCACATCCAGCTGCTAAATTCGTTTGATTTAACAATTGTCACCTCCCACACACATACCTCACACTCCCACACCTAGCTAGCTGTTTCTACCATGTCAGAATTTATAACTATGGCTCTATCCCACATTTTGGTTCAGAACTCAGCACATCTTTGACCACTATCTTGATATTGAATCCAAAACCTGAAATTTGGGAATAAAATTATGGTTTATATATAGTTTTGGGGTTTATATGCCTTTTAATAGTTTAATTTTTCCTTTAATTTGGTTGTACAATATTTGCAGCAGTTTAAAAAATTTAAATATATGTCTCATGTCAGTCCTTCCCTCTTCTCCAGAAGTGTGTGTATATATATATATATTTATAATATAATATATTATATATAATATATTTATAAATATATATAAATTTATAAATATATATAAATAAATATATAATATAATATATAATAATATATTATATATAATATATTTATAAATATATATAAAAATAATGAAATAAATATATATGTATGTATATATGATATACTGGTAGTGCAGTTCCATTTCTAACACGGTTTTGTTGTGTCCCTCACTTCATATTTTAGAGAATGAGAGGCTGAGCAAGATATGACTCAGAAGAAGACTTATGGCCCAGAAGAGTACATAAAATTATTTATTCTGCTTTTCAGTCAAATGGAATTAGCCCTCTTAGTAATAGTAAGAAAATTTAATTTTTTTAAAAACTATAATTATTACTCTTTATGTTGTACGAAGTCCTTATGTTTAATGCAGGTATTATCTTGCTGTTGTGTAACAAAGTTTTCCTAATAGAGCTGCCAGGTATGGTCTCTAGACGATACCTGGCAGCTCTAGACAAGTTTTTCTAGACAAGTTTTTCTTAAAGTGTGGTTCCCTAACTTCCTTATATCAGTGTTATCTGGCTTATTTGTTAAAATGTTCCTGTGGCCCACCTCTCACCTACTGACTCAGAATGGGGCCCAAGAACTCGCATTTTAACAAATCCTCCTGGTGATTCTCATAGGCATTTGAGAACTACTGCCTTAAACTAGGGGATCAACAACCTGGAAAAAAAAAAAAAAAGACTCTCACATGCAAATAGAAAAAATTCAAATATTTCCTTGTGTAACAATATAAGAACATAGATAGAGATGAGGGTAAGTGGAAAAAAGAAACTATTCTTCTGGCAAAAGACGTAAGGGGAAAACAACAACAAAAGTAAGAAATACAAGAGTGTCTTGTGTATGAGACGAAACAGAGATGTTGTCAGATAGCATCATGGTTCCTCTAAAATGTGTCACCAAAAACCATATTAATTTCTGATATTCTCTATTTTCTATAGCAATAAAAGCTTATGGCTTTATTTTCCCATGGTATTAATAATCCTTCTCTGAGGATCATGACATGAATATTAGGCACTTCAAAGAGAAAAAGACTCTAAAGAAAAATTTTCTGATAAACTTTACACTTAGAAACTAAGAAACAATAATAATTATTATTAGACTATGCTCATAATTATTCGAGAAAATCACTGATTTCTGTCCATTTTTTTGAGGGATGAGACTAAGCACTTGCCATCTCCACAGGCGATCTTTTTGCTTCTCTAAAATTGTTAAAGAGAAACCTTTCAGATACATAACTTCGTTTGATAAGGAGTATTCTTTTTAGATTTCTTATGCCATAGAAAACCAAAAATATCATTTGTCAATAATATTCATTTTTCATGCAAACAGGTATTAGGCATATGGCCTTCATATTTTCACAATTATACTTTATAGTCTATTAAATCATACTTTCCAAATATATGTGTTAAAATAATATAGATAAAAAAACAGGCACTTTTTAATTTTACTGATTTTTTCATCAAAATTACAACTTTTAATAAACTGTCTTAAATTAGGCATTTGATCAATAGCCCTAATTTTCATTTTATATTACAGGACTTGCATTGAAGTTTTTAATAGATATCCAGTTTACCTTATCAAAACAGAATTATCTTATTAGCTAGATTATTTTATCACATTCCTAAATTTCTTATCTGTGCTTTTCAAATGAATGGTTAAAATATATGTTGATTTCCCCAAAATATAACAAATGTATCTCCACAATTCTAGATATGACATACTTCTTATTTTAGCTCTATTTCATTAATAGAAATCCTGGCATCATTTTGATTGTTTTAATATAACAATCATTCCAGCTTTACCATGTACCCATTCTTAAATTTCCTAAGGAGAACTGAACAGCACAAGTAAATATTTAACTCTAAATAACATTAACTAAAACAAGTGTAATTTTTAAAATTTAAACTAAATTAGTATTATTCAAAACCAACAACAAAAAAACATGCAGCAAAGCAAGGAAAGCATACTACTACTTTAAAAAAAAAAACTATAGTCATTACTTTAACCATATAAGGGTTTCCTAATGAAAAGAGGCAAACAACTTGTACCAAGTATTACAGTAAAATTAAACGACATTTCAATTACAAAATGTAAACAACATAAATAAACCCAACACATTTTATTTAGATTGTTATTTTGTTCTTTCAAAGTAATACACTTTCCAAAGTTGAACCTTATATATAATATGCATAAAATTCATATTTTAGATAAGGTACAAATTTATTTGCCAGTCTCCTCAAGGAGTTGTTGCTTGGAAAATGCAAGAGAATGTAGATGTTAAGTGATATAATGAATTATTTAAAGAGACAGCAACCTTGGTGTAATAAAGGATAATATCAACAGTATAAAATTAGCTAATTTTGTCAATGTTATATACATATATATATGTACAGTCTAAAACCTATCAGTTTTAGTATTCAGTTCATCATATAAAATCACTAACAAAGATTGTCTCTTTAAATTTTTATTGTATTTTAATCCCCATGCAGAATTTTACAAGCTGGCTTATAAAATGATTTGAAAGTCAATAATATGGTTTGGAGCAACATACCAAACAAAGTTTCCTACTACGCATTTTCCAAAAACATACAAATAAGGGTTAAAACACAACTTTAGTTTCTATCAGGCAGACAAGGCCTTTACCTGAACCCTAGGAACAAAAGGCGTTGTTCTTCTACTAAGGCTTTGGCTCTGGTAAGCAAAATTAAAGAAAAAAGCAATAAAACAAAACCAAAAAGGACAACACGCTGGAACTAAAAGACCAAAAGTAAAATAAACACATAAAACTATCCCTTAAATATACTTTTTCCATAACAATATATATCTAAATTAAGTACTTCAATATAATGAATAAGTTAATTTTGCCAAAATGTTAAAACATATAAAAACTATATAAAATCTCAGAATTTTTAAATGTAGTCAACATAACAAGAATTAAGACTGAATGTAAAGTAACGCTTTTGGGCTCGTGTACTCTGAAAGAATGAGTATAAACATAATCCAAGAGTCAAGAAATTTCCGGTTTCACCCTTAAACACACTACCATAGGAAAAAATCATAGTCCAAGAAGATGCATCATAGAATTATAGTGAAAAGTTATCTGTAAATTGACTGTATGACTTCTCCAAAATTTGTCTAACGAAGGTTTAAAAAACATTAGCCAAGTTGGCTTTAGCATTTCTTGAAAGAATAAACACAGTAAGATAAAAGTGTGCAGAAGGCACTAGACTAATTAGTTGATTCACATCTTAAGAATTTATACCAGATTCTAGTATTTAAACACCATTTTTAAACATTTATTAGGTACCACTCAAGATAACACTGTTAGTGTTATAACACTAAGTAATGTTAGTGTTATCATTACTAAGTGTAATGTAACTTAGTGTATCATTACTAAGATAACACTTAGTAATGATAATACCTCATTTCTTTTTGTTATTTCCAATCTTTTACTGACAATTTATTGCAAGTTCATTGCCTCCAACAACACTAGGAGGTAGTTGCTATTATGTCTAATTTGAGATGAGGAAACAGAGACATAGAAAAGGGGTGCATACAGTTGCCCATACTTAAACAAAAAGTAAGATAGTGTAAAGACAGAAAATAAAGCTAGGTTCTAAAAAACAAAAACAAAACAAAACAAGAGAAGAGGAAAGAAAAGAAAAGAAAAGAAGAGGAAAGGAAAGGAAAGAAAAGAAAAGAAAAGAAAAGAAAAGAAAAGAAAAGAAAGAAGAAAAAAAAGAAAAGAGAAAAGAAAAGAAAAGGAAGCCCAGTTCTGATGAAGGCATTCTATTTCAAATTCTCAGAATAAAATCAAATTTTCTTTCTCTCCTGGGTTATTCTGTTTTCACTTTGAAACAGTTTCCAAAAGACACCACAATAATCAGAATTTTGTGCCTTTATTAAGGCATGCCAATGATTAAATCAGGAACAAAATCAGATGCATATCCCTGGGTATGGGGATAGATTTCAAGGCATTTAATTCTTCTTTCACCAAGATTCCATCCCATTCCTCATACTTCTCACGGATGTTTCTCTCGTCTAATTCAAAGAGTTATAAATAGAGACCTTTCCACTGTTATACGGAAACAGATAATAGGTAGTAGGAGGACCGTTGCCTAATTCAACTATCATCAGATAGAGATTGTTTAAGACATAAATCTAAAAGCCAAAGGAAAGCAGACCTTAAAAGCAGATATCAATCATATGAGTCATCTTTCTCTCTTTCCAAAAACCAAGGCAGTCTCAAATCTAAGCAGTCTTCCTTTTCATGTGGAGACATTTCCAAAGGAAGAAAGAAATCTTTAGATATGGAGTATTTACTGATATCTGTCTGCAGAATCCTAGGTGGATGTTTCTCTAGCAAATGGACCAGGGATGTCTGAAATGCATAGAGATTAACAAGGCAAGCTGAACAGAGGGACTAACAAAATACTCTATTTGGAAATAGATTTTATTTTCCTTGCTCTCTCACCTGTTCTGCCTGTTTTAGACCCAAATAGCAAGGTAATGGAAGATTATTGCAAGTAAATATTACTTCATTAACTAAAAAAAATTAATTTCAAACAAACAGCACTTTGAAATAAATTAGTCCTTTAAGGCAAACATTTTCCATCTTCTAAAACGGTCTCAAATAAGCAACTCACAGATTTCTGAAATCTGTTGTCTACAATCTATGGTAATTTAAACCTAATCTTCACCTATAAATTTATACATTAAACATATGTTTGTTTTGCTAGTTTTTTTAAATTGAGATGAAATTCAAATATCATAAAAGTAACCATTTTAAAGTGTATAATTCAGTGGCATTTAGTACATTCACAATGCTGTGCAACCACTGCCTCCCTCTAGTTTCAAAACTTATTACCCCAGAATATACTGTACCTATGAAGGAATCAATCCCCATTCTCCTATTGCCCCAACTCTTGGCACGTTCTAAGCTGATTTCTGCCTCTGTGGATTCTGGATATTTCATACAGGAATGGTGAAGTATTATATATTGCATTGCAATTTATAATTAATACTAATTCATGTATTTTAAACAGGAAATATCTGATGAAACCTGTAACAAGTCAGCCTCATACAAATGAAGAAGTGAATTTGTACACAATTTGTTTTGCACTTTTTATTATCTATCTTTAAGGCATTCCTTTTATGCAATGCTTCTGGACTAACAAGGTTGTGACGATGAGGTCTAATAGGTAAAAGCTCAAAGGAAAACACTTTCACTTACAGAAAGGTTTAAAAAGGCTATAGAATTTCTAAGGAGATATGAAGGATACATACCTATTCTTCAGTTACCTATTCCACTTAAAAGGGCATACAAAATGATTATGTACAATATTTACAAATAATCACTAAAAATGGAGTCAAAAATATTAAAACAAAGTAACTTGAGGAAACATTATAGCCATAAATCAAGCACAGACTCAGAAGTAAAATAAAATATGATTGTCAATAAGAATCAATGTGTTCCTATAGAAAGAAAGAATTTTGAGCCATTTCTCACTTTTAAAAAGAGTTGAAGGCTATATTTTATCCTAACGCTCTATCAAAAACTAGCCAAAAACTCCAGATTAATTTAAAAATAATGAAAGAACCACAAAAGTAATCCTCTGATGAAGGAAACTGTTAAACTGTGGAAGAACATAAATATTAAAAAGAATCAAAATAAGGGAGTGTTGGCACTGAGAAGGCTAACACACACTCCACGTGTCCTAAACCTGAGCTCATACTGAGTTTCTCACCAAATGTATTCATGGCACTTTTACAGTTATGCTCTAGGATAATAACAAGCAGCCAGCAGAATTCAAGCATAAAGAGGAAATAAACTGCACAAATTTTTTAAAATCATCAATAGTCTTTAAAAGAAAGTTTAAACAACAATTTAAATTATATGTATATTTCTATTTGAGAAATTATCAGTCCATGAACTGACATAATACATTAGGAGGTCAGCTCACAAGTCATACAAATTACCTTTGTTCCCTGGAATTAGCAACATCATAAATTTGTAAGTGAGTTATGAGCCCAGGTAAAATCTCATCAAAATAAAAATGCCCAAAGGTAAAATAAGTAGAAGGAGATAGAAACTGTAATGTTGCCTGATGACTTCCTAGGAATTTTCTCAAAAGGTGATATATGCAGATGTATTTCCTAAACTCTACATCATTAGAGCAAACCAAAATTGTCTCCAGTTGGCAGAAATAGGGTTAAATATAAAGGAAATAATATCAGAAGGGTATTTTGCTCATGTTTTCCTGCATGCAAAGAACGAACATAAAATTAAGTTTCATGAGGATAAAATCCATGTCTATCTTGTTCATTGCTGTATTCCCGGCAACTAGTATTATGGCTGACCTGGGGTCAGAACTTAACAGATATTTCTTGAATAGATGATTGCCCTTGATCTTAGCCAAAAGGCCGAGAAGTGATCTTGAATAGATGATTGAAGATTAATTTCATAAAAACACTTTTGAGGAAAATGTTGGCAACAGATTTTAAGAATCTTAAATTTTTTTCTCTTTTCTTTCATACTGTAATTTTACTTCTGAAAAGTTATCCTGACAAAAGAATTTTGTCTGACCTAACAGAATATGTAAGAGTTACATTCAAGGATTTCCATGGCATCATTGTTTAGAGTACTATAAATTAAGAACAAGATGTCCCATAATAGAGAATTAAATTAAAATGGTATATTAGCTCTTAAAATCATTTTAAGAGAAATATTTAAAGAAAAAAATTTTAAAGAAAAGAGCGTATAATATATTACTAAGTGGAAAAGCAGGTCTCAAAATACTATACACAGATTTATCACTTTTGTTTAAAAACTTATATGTATGTGAAAAGTTACATTTTAGTGGTAGGATTATAGGTGATTTTTATTTTTTAGTTACTTATCTGTACTCTCTAGATTTACCACAACAAATATGTATTGTATTTATTAATGTTATCTTACTGGAACATACCCCTTCCAAGTCACAAGAAAATGATAAAATGTACATATTTTAAATTACAATTACATGGATTTTAAACTAACACCATTTATAAATGTAAATACCATTACTTTAAATCACTAATCATACTCTTAGAAGTAAAACTTTTAAGTTTTTATTTCCTCAAAATATTTAAGTCTTACCTTTCTAGTATATTCATTTTGAACCATGATAAAAAAATAGCTGAATTTGAAATTTGTCTAAATGCCTGAATTATGCTCCTCAATCTCCCCCCAACCCCCACCTGCCTCCCCGGTCTAATTTCTATAGGGCCTTGGGATTTCAAAGATGGTAACAAAGCGGTACTTACTTACTATGGAAGTCTAACTTCTACTCCCTCCTCCACCAACTGAAGCCAACTACACACACACACACACACACACACACACACACACACACACACACACATTTATGTACTGGCATCATCCAGGCATCCTAAACACTATTTAAAGATGGACTATTTGAATGGAGCCATAATAATTTAATAAAAAAGGTTAATATTAGCACTTTCTAAAATGGTGTAAGAAAATACACATACATTTGTAACTATAAATGACAACATCTGTGCTGTTAATATATGTAAAAGAATAAGTAGAAAGATGCTACTTATTATAGAAAATGAAAGAAAGATCACTGTCTTCAAATGAAAAAGTTCACTCTGTTTATGAGAAAGGAAAAGAAAATAATAAAGAGAAGAAATTAATTTTAGTAAGACATTTACAAGTTCCTAATAGTATCTCAACTTCTTTCTTGCATAATTTTTCTGTTATTGTCACCTTTGTGATCAAAATAGTCCCAGAATGGACATGTCTAAAAACTATTTCAATAATTTTAATGTTAGCTCTGCTTATACTTCCTATAGCTTTTAATTAATAAAAATTCTTCAGTAAAAATCAAACACCTCTCCTACCCCCCGAAAAATAAAAGGAGAAACTTCATAGCTGATTAAACAAAAAGCTTTTTCTATTACTCTTAAAATATCAGCCCAAGAATAGTTTAGTTTTCAATTATAACATTTTTTATCCAAAATTCAATGTCTGGATTTTGAGAATCTAAATAGTTCTTAATACATATAAAATTGCAAGTTTAGTAACTCATCAACATGATGTTTCTAAAATACAACTGGATGAATTTAGATATTTTAATATTTTAAATAGTTTAAAAAGAGAATGGCAACTGAAGAAATTGATAAAAAGTGAGGGCTCAAATTTGTAAATCTCTTCTAATTATGGACAGAAAATGCCAAATTGAATTTTTAATTTTTATATAAGATGTTCAAATTAGGGATCCCTTACTATGAAATCACCCAGTATACTCAGTTATCTATTATATATTAGCCATTTACTTAGTTTTGTCTGTTGACCAAAGCTTCTCAAATATCATTATACTTACAGCAATATTCATACCCCAGTGATTTACTATGAAATTCATACCAAATTTCCTTAAACTTGAAAAGCAGGGAATGTATAAAATTTACTTTCATCTTAAATATACCATCTTTGTACAGTACTGCAATGTGATTTCTCTCAAAAGTCTAGGACAAATTATAGTCATTTTAAGATAGTGAGCAAAAATCATGACCTTGAATTTTGGAATAAAATTACTAAGGTAAAGAAGGTTTTAGATATCTCTACAAATTCTCTCACTGAATTCCAGAAAATCTAATATACTTTAATAAAGAAACTCTATGCTAAATAATTAAAATTAAATTTCAATTAATCAAAACTACTAAGAATGAGAAAACTGATGGTTAAAAACACAATTACATTCTAAGAAGGAGCTGGTTTACAAAAAGCTATTGTCATATAGTAATAACATTACTTGGTACTTCAAAAAGAGAAATTAATGTAGTGATTACATACTGAAAGTTGTCCAGATAAGTATTGTGGAACATCCCTCAACATGCCAGGACTCATGGGAGAGGTAACGGAAATAGAAGGGCGATCCATTTTTTGAGATTCAAAAGAGCTAGAACCTGAAATGGTAATTATACATAAAGAACAATAATGATGACTCTTCATTAGTACTTAATAATCTTTACCATATGTCTTTTAAATTATTTATTTATTTAAAATGTCCACAAAATGTCATTATATAGACCATTTTCTTAGCCACAATGTTCCAGATATACTTATGGCTATTTTTTTTAAAAGATTTTATTTATTTATTTGACAGAGAGAGAGAGTGAGAGAGGGAACACAAGCAGAGGGAGTGGGAGAGGGAGAAGCAGGCTTCCCGCCGAGCAGAGAGCCTGATGTGGGGCTCGATCCCAGGACCCTGGGATCACGACCTGAGCTGAAGGCAGACGCTTACCGACTGAGCCACCCAGGTGCCGCAAATTACAGCTATTTTCTGAAGCATAAGTACAGCTGAGGAATTCTCTTAAGACCAAGAGTGAAACATTTTCTCTGCCAGTTATAGTAGGGACAGACCTCTACATCAGGACCTGGTTACCTCATCTGTTATGTGTATTAGAAACTTAGGAAAAATCAAAACCTAAACCAATAAAGTCACTTGAAGATGGTTTAAACTTGTAATTCTAAAAACATAAGTACTGGAATGTTAATCATGAAGTCTTTCCAGGAAGTGATACTTTTAAACCACATCTGGAAAAGAATATAATAAATTAGACAGGCAGAAAGGAAGTAAACGTCCTTGAAAAAAGAGACAGTATAGCAGAAGAAGCAGAGCCTCAATACCCAGAAGTTATATGTATGAATTTATCTCTACAGAAGGGAAGGAATAATTCAGAAAGTGAGTCAAAATGTAGCTAATGGGATAGCAGGGGGAATTAAGCGCCTGGAATTCTGGGCTACACATTTTGGTACTAATTGAGTATCAAAGCTAGCTCTTCTGAATGAGGCAATAACTACACTTGCAGATGACTTTATCACTTACTTAAAGCATGGATTGATTTGAGAGCGATGGAAAATACTTAACAGGTGGAATTCAATAAAACAATAATAGGAAATATTGTGAAAATGGAATGGAAAGAAAGAATTCTGGTGAGAGCACAAAATAAACAAAGGAGGACTCAGAAACTAACTAGATATGAGAGATAAAGGGAAGAGAGGAAACATGAAGATATCAAGCCTTGTGGCCAGACATGAGATCAAGAAAGTCCTGAAGGTCTGTCTTGTTCTCTGCACGGAACACTGCTGATATTCCTTGGGATGTGGAACACTGGAGATAGTCCTGTGCTTAAGGGAATGGGTGGAGAAGTTACTTTGTAACATGGTGACCCCGGTGACCCCGTGGTACCTCTGAGAAATCCAAGGGGAGATGTCAAGCAGGTAATGGGATCCATGGATGGGACCAAATGTCAAGTAGATATTAGTGTTAGAAATCAAAGTGTAGAGTGTCTGCTGGGTTGGAGCCATAAGAGGATAAAATACACCTCTAGGAAGAGTACAGTATAAACTGAGGAGGAAACTTCAGGCTTTGGGATCAGAAGTGGAGAGACTATGGACTCTAAGAAACAAACCGAGGGTTCTAGAGGGGAGGGGGGGGGGGGATGGGTTAGCCTGGTGATGAGTATTAAAGAGGGCACGTACTGCATGGAGCACTGGGTGTTATACGCAAACAATGAATCATGGAACACTACATCAAAAACTAATGATGTAAGATACGGTGATTAACATAATAAAATAAAATTTAAAAAAAGAAATACAGTGGTACCTTATATAATATTTAGAAGTGGAAAGAAATAAGCTGTTTTGTACATGTTAAGCTTCAAGTAACAGGAAGACACTTAACAGAACATATTATTTAAACATTCAAGCATAAAGGAATGATGACAGATCATCTTGGTACTATAAACTTAGCAGTCATGTGGCAATTAAAAGCATTATGAAGAGAAGAATTTACTGAGGAACTAAGGACAGAGATTAATAATTGGGCTTATTCTTCAACATTTAAAGAATAAAGGATTGGGGCACCTGGGTGGCTCAGATGGTTAAGTGTCTGCTTTCAGCTTAGGTCATGACCCCAGGGTCCTGGGATCGAGCCCTGCATCGGGCTCCCTGCTCGGCGGGAAGCCTGCTTCTCCCGCTCTCACTCCCCCTGCTTGTGTTCCCTCTCTCGCTGTGTCTCTCTCTGTCAAATAAATAAATAAAATCTTTAAAAAAAAAGAATAAAGGATTGATTCTAATTTAATTTGATAAAGGACCCTTATCTCCTCAGAAACAATTGTAAAATTGTAGACTAGGGGATTTTTTTAATAGCTATAATAAGATAAAGGGTTCCACCTTGCTCATACAATATCTGAGTGATGTTACTTAAGTGAATAAAAATTGGACTTTTGTAAGAAATAAGTGTGATAATGTAGACACAGCATCAACCACAATCCCAGGCACTCAGTAAAATGGGAGCAATGATGATAATGATGATGATATCATTATATTAGTACAGTTGACCCTGAGGGTTAAGGGCGCTAACCCCTGCACAGTCAAAAAAAAAACCACAGTAACTTGTGATGCCTCAAAAACTTAACTACCGATAGCCTACTATTGACCAGATGATGCACCAATAAACAGCCGATTAACACATATTTTGTACATTATATATATTATATACTGTATTCTTACAGTAAAGTGAGCTAGAGAAAAGAAAATGTTATTTAAACAATCATAAGGAAGAGAAAATACATTTACAGTAATACACTGTATTTACTGAAAAAATGTGTACATAAGTGGACCCATGCAGTTCAAACCCATGTTATTCAAGGGTCAACTGTATTTATTTATTGTTATAGTTCCTTTGTGATCATGGTATCATTTTGGCTAAAATGGTTTAGTACCTACTTAAAGGTACTAAATCAAATAAGTCATTCGATCATATTTTAAAATATAGTGCTATGCCATTCCCAAAGTATTTCACCTCTCTGGTAAAGATTTTAAAGACACTTATAATTGTGATATAAAAGTAAAAAAATCTATTTTAATAGTATATTCTTAATTATTGTAGGATCCAATCACTTCTCATCACCTCATTGCTCCCACCAATAGCCTAAGTCACCAAATAAAATACTAAATATAAAAACAGTTCTCTCACAACTCTCTCAGCTTTCACCCTTGACTCCATTTAAACTATTTTCAACACAGTAGCCAGATTTTAAAACATAAATCTCTCCTCAAAACCATCGTATGTGGTTACTGATTTCCCACAGAGTAAAAGCCCAAAACAAAGTAGTCTTCACAGCGGTTTACAAACTCTATGCAAATTTGGCTGCCAGGACTCCCCTATCCATCCTTCCCGCTGCTCAGTCCGGTGCAGCAACACTGGCCTTCTTGCTTTTCCTCAAGTGCATCGTAGGCTTTCCTGCCCAAGAACCTCTGCACCACTTGGTCCCTGTACCTGGAAAGTTTTTCCCCCAGATAGCCACTCCTCCAAATCTTCGCTCCAATCATTCCTTCTCAATATGGTCTCTCCTGAGCAACATACTTCAAATGGCAACCCTTCTCCTCTCTTCTTTTTTTTTTTTTTCTCCTCTCTTCTTTTACAATATCCCTTACTCTCAATCAATCAAGAAACTTAGTTCACTGGAAAAAAAGCCATTTGTTTAACATCTGAAATAGCACTCAAACACAAGTAATAAAAAGCGTTTATGTATTTAACATTACTTAAACGTATTTGTCTATTGTTCCATTTCTACTATGATGCCAAATCAAAACTACTATCCTATTTTCTAATAATGTAAATTGGGATATTATTCACTAGATTTTCCCAAGCATCCCCCCCCCACTTACTGAGGGTTAGTTTACAAAGTAGTAAATTTTAAAATTAGAAGAAATTAAGGAAGCGGGGGGGAACTTTTAGGAGAGATGGGTTTGTTCATTATTTTTATTGTGATGACGGTTTTCATCTGTATATCAAAACTTACCTCATTGTGCACTTAGGTCCAATTTATTGTAGTGTACCTTAATAAAGCTATCCAAAAACATGTAGCAGTTAAGAGGGTATGATTAAAATAAAACCATCTTTAGGGCGTCTGGGTGGCTCAGTTGGTTAAGCAACTGCCTTCGGCTCAGGTCATGATCCTGGAGTCCCAGGATTGAGTCCCGCATCGGGCTCCCTGCTCGGCAGGGAGTCTGCTTCTCCCTCTGACCCAACCCCCTCTCATGCTCTCTCTTTCTCTCTCTCTCATTCTCTCTCTCAAATAAACAAATAAAATCTTTAAAAAAAATAAAACTATCTTTAAAATATTACAGAATTTGTATTTTATCCCACAATAACATGAAATAATACTAAATTTTTCATTTGTATAATAACTATATTTTGATAACAAGGTTATTCTATTTCTTACTTCATATTAATAGATAAAATAATTCATCTGACCCCTGAAAATGACACTATTAATATTTTCTTCAAGAATGAATGAGACTTACTGGACTCCAGTTGTGCATGTGTGCTGTCAGGGATTCTAGGGATATCTCTGAAATGATAGAACAAAAAAAAACAAGAAACTGTTTCAACAATTAATGCAACTGCTATTTCGATGATCAGCAACCTATATATAACAGGAGAGCGTAAAATGAACAAAATTGTGAATGATAGTAGCATTATATAAGTAAGAGAAAACGAGACGTAGTACTTTATTGCTAATCAAAATATTCTGAACTAACCTCAACTGCTTAGAAAGGAATAAACAGTCATATGCATTTATAGCAGATTTATAAAAACATACTTTATTTTCTATGTGCTTTACTACATAACCATCCATTCTAATAAATTTTTGAATTAAAGATAGGTTTTATGATATATTTGAATTCTATTCTATTCTTTAATCAATAACATTGAAGTATAAATAAAATATCACCACAAGAAAAATTTAAAGATTCAGATTCTGAATGAAATTTTTTAAATGTAATAACTCCATTGAGGAAAAAATGCAAACATGTTTTTCATTGGGACTTACAAATGGTAACTGCATTTATGTCGAAAGTATATACATTTTTGTTTGAGATTTGCCAAGAATGGTAGAAAAAATTTTAATAGTTAAGGTCATTCAGAAAAATACATAAAAGAATATTTAAGATATTAAAAATATGATTAGAGGATCCTTTAATACCAAGAAATATATTTGATTAATATACTAAGCTGATATACTGCAGTTTTGATACACTGCATATTACAAAACTATGAAAAGGAAAATGAAAAAGATACAATTTCATGTGCCAGATTCATTACTTTGAAAGGAACATTTCAATAAAACTAAGTTACTTTTTACACGCAAACAATGAATCATGGAACACTACATCAAAAACTAATGATGTAATGTATGGTGATTAACATAACATAATAAAATAAAATAAAATAAAATAATTAAAAAAAACTAAGTTACCAACATAAATCATTTTCTCCAACATAAAAAGAGATCAAAATAATACAGTCCAATCATTTCCTAAGTGAAAGACAACTGGCCATTGGTACTCTACAACAAAAAAAGAATTTCTATAGCTTCCACCCTCAAATACTTTTACCCCAAACTTGCACTTAATAATTTGCTGTCATTGTATATATTTTTTCTATTGCTTTTACTTAGTTATAGGTATATCTCTTACATCAGCTTAAAATATAAGCTTCTATAAGGGAAGCACTGCTGTGATATTTAATGAGAAATTATCAGGATACGGCACAAAGGATTATATTTATCACCATCTTTTAGAAATTGCTAATTTAATCTATAGGTAAAAAATTACAAAAGCCGAGGAGTACTTTGGTTCTGTTTCCTTAAACACATCATGTTGTTCCTTAAACTGTTCCTCTATTTAGGAATACTGTGTCCTTGGGACCTCTCTTTCCTATGTTGAAATCTCCATTTTGAAAAAAAAAATATGTAAAATTCATTGACCCTCATTTTCACAATGTAGAGGACCATAGTTCATGAACTTTCTTTTAAAAGTAATTGTTATTATAGTCCCCTTCTCCTACTATGCCTTTAGCCACCCACTAAGCTACTAAGACAATAAAAATAATAAACACCTAAATACTTCTTCTTCTTTTATAATAACTGTGTATTCTAGCATGATCAAATAAAGAAATATCATGATTTTTGGTGAGCTGTTTTAGCAAAGAAGGAGAAAAGAAGCACTGTCCTCAAAACAATTTTTATAGAGCAATCAGATATTTTTAGATTGCACACTACAAATTGTGTAATAGTAGTCAACTTTATAAGGTATGTGCATAAAGTACACAAACCAACTCACCCAATAGGTCTTGAAACAACAAGCTCCACTTGTGGTTCAGGTTTGGATTCCAGAATGATGTTATATACTTCCTCAAATGTGGCTCCTTGCAATAACCTTCCATTCCATTCTAATACTTCATCACCTGCAGTGTATTCCAGTAACGATAATTTTAGAAAGAAAAACTAATCCCATAAAATGCACTTGAAACCAAAGCACTCTTAAACTGCAATGAACTCAATAGAATAAAGTCACCATTATGGAATAAGACATACTGAACAGCTCCATTGGCATAAAATTTGATGGTAAGGATGATTAGTACTTTTACCCAAAAGGACAAAGGTCTGAGGAATAAAATTACGTAAAAGTTATCTCTGTGGTTTCTTAATAGGAATCTAATTCTAGAAATTACTAAAATCTGTTAACCCTTTGAAAATTTTATGACTATATTCTAGGTTTGTCAATATATATGCAACTGAGCACCTTGTCTAAAATTTCTCTTTTTTTTTTAGATTTTATTTATTTATTTGAGACAGAGCACACATGAGAGAGAGCACAAGGGGGGTAGTAGGGGGGGTGGGGACTGAGGGAGAGGGAGAGGGAGAAGCAGACTCCCTGCTCAGTGAGCAGGGAGCTCGATGCTGTGCGGGGATCCATCCCAGGACCCTGGGACCATGACCTAAGCTGAAGACAGACACTTAACCAACTGAACCACCCAGGAGCCCCTACAGTTCCTTATCAAATGTTTAAAGCTTAGCATCTTATCATATTCTCTCCAAAGGACTCGAGGATCTCTCCAATAGTATCCATTACCAAAGAGATAAGGCGTCACACATTGTAGGAAATATGTATTTATCCATAACGTTTGTTTCCTAAACTGTTGGAATTTTTTCAAAAGAAAAGCAAAGCCTTATGGGAAGCAAGATAGATTAATACTAGATACACAATAAGAATATCCATCAGCAAAAAAATCAGTAAATATAAAAATCTTTCTAATGTGACCCAAGAAATAACAGTTACACTTTCCATTAAGAATAAAGATTTTTTGTTTAAGTTAGAAATGAGTCCCTTGTTTTTGGTCAAATCATTTCTAAGTGAGGACAACTTTTTTATAACTACTTGAGTTTAACAGTTTAAATATAAATAATCAAAGATAGAAACCTACCTGGTCTAAGATGTCCTACAGTATCAGCTAAACTTCCTTTTTTTACTTTGGTAATAAATGCACAAAGCCGACCTGATTCAGTCATCTTTCCTCCTACAACCTGTTTAAAAGAGAAAAGTGTTAAAATAGGCATATTGTTCAAAGGAACATAGTTGAAGATTCAAGTAAAAAATTAGACAATTTGTAGCTTTTAGAACTATAATATTCTAAAAATAATTTTTAATAATATAGTGTTCTGAGTACATGTTCCATAAGTGGACTCTTTTGAGATATTCTAAAATTTTCACAATTTAATCTATTATTTGTAAAAAAAAATATTGGGGAAATCGGAGGGGGAGATGAACCATGAGAGACTGTGGACTCTGAGAAACAAACTGAGGGTTCTAGAGGGGAGGGGGGTGGGGGGATGGGTTAGCCTGGTGATGGGTATTAAAGAGGGCACGTACTGCATGGAGCACTGGGTGTTATACGCAAACAATGAATCATGGAACACTACATCAAAAATGAATGATGTGATGTATGGTGATTAGCATAACATAATAATAAAAAAAATTACATACCTTAGAAAGAATTTAATAATTTGTACTTTCTCTTAGAGAATTATTTTTATCATTTCCAAAAACATGCTATTACAGTATTATAGAATTATATTAATGTTTCTAGTTACAGATTTCAAATATCATAATCACATAAATATTTGTTACTTTGATTATAGTTATGATAACCCACCAAAATTTCATTCTTTAGTAATCTTTTAGGCTCATTGATAATGTAAATGATAATGATGGATTTTTCGTAAGAAAATTACAAAATGTACTTAATCTCATTAGAACTCATGTAAACTTTAGGCCATTTGCATCCCAATTTTTTTATTTTTATGTTTCTATTAATATATATCTTCTAGAAAGAGGAAAAACAAATGTTAGCAATAATGCTGCAGAGTCATATGTGTACCTGTAAGACTGGCCTCTTACAAAATTAATGCTTGTGATCAACTACCATTCAACCAATATATCAACTTTATAGCATGTTAAGCAAATAATAGTAATTGACTTCATTAATTAGTTTTTTCCTTCTAAATTGAGTGAACAATATCTGAATTTTAAAAATCACTGGCTTTTTCTATGTATTTATTCCCAAGTTGCAGTGAAACACCCCCAGTTCAGTTCATACGATGGGTGAACAGTGAAACACCCCATTAGTTTAGTTCATACTAATTAGTGCTATGTTTGATTCTGAAAATTAAAAATACGTTAATATTTTAAAACTTTCTTGGCTTGATAAACTTCAGTAATAATTAATGATACTTTATACTATTATTATTATTATCAAAATCTTACAGTATGCTAGCTACTGTGCTATATGCTTGTATATTGCTTTAAGTTTATTATAATAATTCAATAGGCATTATTATCTCCATTTTACAGATGAGGAATCTGAGGCTAACAGAAGTTTAGTTGCCCAATGTCATGTTCCTTATAATGGCTGTAGTAGGGATTCAAGCTAAGACTCCCTAACCTCTACTTTTCACTGCTCTAACACTATATTGGACAGATCTGGATTTAAATCTCACCTTCATCATCATCTTTGTGACCGTAGGCAAGTTATGACACCTCTCTAAGCCTATTTCTCATCTGCTGTGTTAAATAATATGATAGAAGTAAAATGCTCAGGTGAGTGCCAGCTACATGGCAGGTACCCAATAAATGTTTGTTGGCCAATTCCACTTATACCCCAAGTGTTCTAATATCTCACTATATTCTATAGGGCAACTTCTGTGGCAATTGCTTAACTCTAAAAACCACTTACTCTTTTTTCATTTCAGTTTTTAATTCAGCATACAGATGAACAATAACAACAACAAAAAACCACCACCAACAACAACAACAAAAAAACCCCCAAACCACAAAGTTCTGTTTGATCTACTTACCACATAACTGTCTGGTATTTTACAGTCAAATATGAATTAATATTTATATTAAATCTCCTAGCATAAGTATTTTTGAGTTTCCAGACTTTAAACAGTATACTCTTTCTCACACACACAAATACACACACACCCACATTTTCCTACCCTTAAACAAAAATTATATTCTGTTTGCTAAAAAACAAAATTCAACCACGTAAATTTGAAGATCTAATTGGCTTTATTAAGTGATTCATTAATCGGACAGCATCCCATCTAGCAAGCAGAGGAGAGCTCTTCTGAGCTCAACAAAAGAAAGGTTTTCAAAGGCTGAGAGAGGGCGTTAAAAAAAAAATAGGAGAAAGGAATTTATTAGCAAGGAATGCACTGTTAAGGCAAGACTGCCCTCCAAAAGGGGGTCTATCAATAAATTTCCTAGTATTGACCAGGAAATTCCATGTTGACTGGATAGAGGTTACATTGCTGGGGGGATGAAACTGCATTAAGCTAGGGATTAAGTTTTGTTTTACTGACATAGGGCCTTAACCTATAAGTGATGCTATTTGAGGCCTGTGGTTTTCCTTTAAACACCATGTCATAAATATACTACATTTCCCAAGATTGCATAGTCATTGATTAAAACCATTGTTTTAACAGAATAAACACAGATACAGACTTAAATGACAGCACTGTATTCAGGATTCAAGAATATCACTCAAGTTATATTTTCCAAAATCATATATACATGTATTATTGTGGAATAAATAATACTTGGAAAATGAAAAGGTTTTGGGTCATGAGTGCAAATACTTGGGAATTCTTGAAAATGGGAAAGAAACACTAAATTGGCATAAGTTGGAAAGAGTTATTAAATTTTTGCTTTTCTCATAAATCAGTAAAGGAGTAGAGAGCCAAAATCTCATATTTCATCACATACCTTCAAGCCAAGCATTGCTCCTGAATCTCGAGGCACACTTCCATCTTTTAGACGCTTATTTAACAAAATGCGACCAATTAAACGATCTCCATCTTTAGATGGCTGCCACGTCACAGGGTGCTGACATATTGCATCAACAAACAAAAAAAATTAATGTTCTTTTATGATAAATGACCCTTTGTTGTACAGTCTCTCTAAACTCCAGATTTCCAAAGAGTTATGATTACACAAACCAGTTTGCATTCAAAACACTGATCAAAAGGGCTTACTACATTATGCTGATATGCTCCAAATCTCAAGATTTTTCAAAATCCAATTACTGCAAATTCTTGCAGTGCCCTGACACATTATTGCAGTTTTATGTTCTATGAAATCTGAGAAATCTTGAAAATATATGCAAACTATCTAAATGCTGAAGATTAATTAAAAATTCACATGACAGAAAAGATAGACTGAAATTCTATGAGGTTAAATTCATTTAAAAATGATATTTTAATATTCAAACACCATTGGAGACTTTGAAAGGCTTAATTACAGTAAAAGTTAAAAGATAAAATTATATTAATACATCAAATTTGAGCCTATGATGAGGGCTTCCTTGAAATAGGTTTTTGGATTAAAATTATAAAAATACACAAGCCCCAGTAACTTTTCAGCTGAATCTACATGACAGAAAGAGACCTAATTCAAAGGTGAGGCTAGTTTATATTTCTCACTTTTTGCAGGTTCATTGATTCTTTCAGGTCTTTGATCTATTTAGTAAATTAAATTTATTAGATAATTCAATGGTATCCACTGTTAAATAAGCTTGAAAATGTTAGGAGTTTATCTCTTTCTCAGGGTAGAGCCAAGCCCTTTATAAATCATGACACCATCCATTATGAATTACATGTCAAATAACAAAACAAATGATTTGTGTAATCATAGTTTCGGTCATCTAAAAGTAACATGCACATCTTCATGCAAAATTTGGCAGGCAAAAGACAAGTACTAGTCAATCACATCTATACGGTAAAAAGATTTCAAAAGTCTCACTATTCTAAAAGCAAAAATAATAAATACCAAAGCAGATGGCAATGGTTCTAGTACTAATTAAAACTACATTAAAATGCTATGACAATAAAACAAAAGAGCAAAATGACAGTGAAAGGGAAAAAAGAAAAACAACTTTTTCTGTGCAAACAGACCCAATTATCTCCCTTTTGCCTGGGATTGAAACTATTAATAATTTAATTTTCATCCCAAGGAAAATATATGCAAGCAATCAAATAAGCCAATCCAAAAATTCTTTAGATTTGTGGTTTATAAAAACATCACAAAGTTCTCTCATGCGACCATAGACAAAGCATTCCTTTGTTCCTAATTTTTTATTTCATTTACTTATTTTTTGGTATGCCGTCAAACAACAAAAACAGCAAAGCAAGCAAGAAGTATTTTGGTTTGTTTGTTTGGGTTTTGTTTTTCTTTTCTGCACCTTAAGAAATGCTACATTGACCCTTGAAATGCCCTGTCCTTTTATTATGTTCCGTTTGAATGAGTGACAGAGAGCAAACGAAGACCAAATGAGCAGGTTAAAAGGCAGGCTCCACAATCTCAGTACCTTATCACTATGGCTATGCTCCTCGTTAAGGGTTGTGCTACTACAGGTATCTACCCCAGAGTCCTTAATCTGAGGCTCAGACCATTCCAAGTCCTCTTCCAAAGAGTGGCCACCAAAGTACATCATTTTCTTTTGTCTCTCAGACCTGGTGTTAGAGTCCGACAAAACTGCCTGCTCACTAGTTTTTCTTTTTCCCTTTTGACTGTCCCCTACAGGTGTGGGATAAAAATAAAAATAAATAAAAATAAAAAAAAGATACAAAAAAGAAAACATGCAAAGGTGTAAATAAAAAAGGAAAAGTGAAATGAAAAATGAAAATTAAATAGTAAGGCTCCACATGTCTCACCAAAGACATTGGGGATGCCTCACTGCTATGCCAAGACGTATGGTCCAACCAGTTGTAATCCATGTCTCCTGTGAGAGTCAGACAGACAAAGAGTGCAGTAAAGGAGACAGCGAAAGATAGGACAGACAAAGACATTATAAACATTTTAAACTATGTGATCCTGTCTGGTTTCAAGAACTCTGTCTGCAGCACTCGCTATACATACCAAGAGAAAGCTAAGATTCCAAATGAGTAAAATTTATAGAATGCAGAATACAAAGTTTATGTACTCTAGATGGACCCTACAGATCAAAAGTTCTGCAAGAAGAGAAAAGGCTAATAATAAACAGGAATAGAAATGAAAAAATTATATATTCCAAAAAAGAAGAAGACTATCCACTGTGTCTTATTCATGCTATTTTTTTCCATGCTGGCCTACAGACATGAGCTTGTTCTCCAAAGATTAAGGAACATTTTAAGAATTAAACAGCGGTTTGCCAATAACCACTTTAACAAAAAACCAAGTAATTAAATGTTGTTCCTGGAATGTAATATGATATTCTTTATAATGCTGAACCCTCCCAAAAAATCGGGATGGTTTAAAAAAGAATTGGTTACACAAAAGATTAATTTTGTATGAAAATGAAAAAAACAGAGTCACTCAATTTCTATTAGTAAAAATAAAATAAACTTTACTTAAATATCATGAATTACTTAAAATTACTTTGAAATAATTTTTCAACTTTTTTGCAGAAATTGCATTCTCATAAAAAGTAAATTTTCTTTTAAAATAATTTTGTCAGACAATGTATATAATTGGCAACTAAGAATGAATATCCATTTCCCAAATTTATGTGCTTCTTATTTGCTTTACATTTTAAAAAAAATTCTTTTTAGTCTATAGGTGTACATATGCATCTTTTTAAGCTCTAGTCATATTTTCTTTTACTTAAAAATATTCACTAAATACCTTCCATTTGCTATGTATTGTGCTAAGCTCTAGCATAAGGAGTAAAACAATGAGACACAGAACAGAGTGAAGATAAACACAATAAATAAATCATGAATGTCATACAGGAAAGTACACTATGAGAGAGTACAATAAGCGCAAAGGGCAGAACTCTCAAAACACCATGAAAGAGTATAATAAGGTCTAATGTAGATTTTGGGGTCAGCAATGACCTCTAAAGAAGTGATCTTTAAAATGAGAAATGAAATATGTGGTCTAAAAGACAAGTAAGGAGATAGGTAGACGGAAAGTGGAGGAAAGCACATTCCAGGAAGAAGCAACAACAGGATACTGTAGAAGAACTGATGGAACACCAGTGTGTCTGAACCCAAAAGAATGCTAAGTGAGGGGGCACCCAGGTGCCTCAGTTGTTGTCTGCCTTTGGCTCAGGTCATGATCCCAGGGTCCTGGGATAGAGCCCTGCATCGGGCTCCCTGCTCCGCGGGAAGCCTGCTTCTCCCTCTCCCACTCCCCCCTGCTTGTGTTCCCTCTCTTGCTGTGTCTCTGTCAAATAAATAAAATCTTTAAAAAAAAAAAAAGAATGCTAAGTGAGGTGAGGCAGCACAAACCAGCTTAGAAAGGACTTTTTATGCTGTATTAAAGATTATGGATTTCATTCACTGAAGGATTTTAAGCAAGATGTTTACACGAACTGATTTACATTTTAAAAAGATGAATCTAAGTACTAACTACAGATTGGGTTGGAAGACACCAAGGTTAATAGGCATTGGCAATAATCCACGGGATAGGTAATTATAGCTTGAACAAAGGTGACAGCAACAGATAAGGTAAGAAAAAAGGGAACTGAGAGATGTTTTGGCAGTAGAAATAAGAGAATTAAGAAAGACTGAACAAGGGCACCTTGACTGGCTCAGTCAGTAGAGCACGTGACTCTTGATTTCAGTGTCACAAGTTTGAGCCCCATACTGGGTATACAGATTACTAAAAAAAAATAATAAAAAAATTAAGAAAGACTCAAGAGTCAAGGATAAGTCCCAGGTTTCTGGCATTAACAGCTGAATGGAAGGAAAGACTACTTATGAGATGGAGAAAGCTGGAGGAAGAGACTTTTTATCAGAAAGGGGTAGGAAGGAAATACTCTATTTCATAGACTCTAAGATGCCATTGACTATAGAATTCACATATATTAAAATGATAGAAATATGCATCTTAGAATTTATTCAATATGGTGATTGATTTTGGATGTATTATTCAAAATATCTATAAGTTATTCAAGTGGGCATATAAAAAATCGATTTGTTAAGCTGTAACAAAGAAAAGTCGGAGCTGCAGACATAAATTGGAATTGTCAGCACACAGATAGGACTCAGTGGATCATTTAGGAACAGAAGGTAAAATAAGATATGAAGAGGAGCCCGACTGAATCCTAACATTTAGAGTTTGGTTTGAGAAAAAGAGAGGCTGAGAAAAAGCATGCCAGAAAGAAAAGAAGGAGCGAGGGAGAGGGAGTTCCCCAAACCAAACAGAAGAGAGTTTCCTCAGCAGGAGGAGAAAGTAACTACGGTGAATGATTTCTATACAGTAGGTAAGATAAGGAACTGAAAAGTGTGCATTTGATGTGGCACCATGAAGATCAGAAGGATGCTAGAGAAAACTTTGGAAAGAATTACGAAAATTAAAATCTGTTGAAGTAACTGAAGAATCAAAGGGAGACAAGGAAGTAGAAAAATTGTGTGTAGACAAATGGTTCACAAAGTGAAATCCCCTAAATAGCATAATCAACATCACCCCGGGACTTGTTAAAAGTGCTAGATTTTTAGGCACCAGCTGAGACTTAAGTAACCAGAAATTCTGTAGATAAAACCTAGTAATCTGTTTTTTAACAACCCACCAGGTGATTATGATCTTAATAATGTTTGAAAACCACTGGAGATAATTCTCTTAAGAAGTTTATTTGTGAAGGATGATGATATTGGGCTAAATACACAGAATTTACTTTGTAGGGGAAAAATATTCTTTAATCTACAAAATAGACAAGTGCTTCCCAATCTTTCTCATGGCACAAATTGACAATTAAAATTTTATGGCTACCCAAAAAATTAAGAGTATTTGTATCTAAGAAAACCCTTTGAAAATACAATATTGCTCCACACAAAAGCACTGATAAATCTCCAAACTGAATTAAATAAAGTGTGGAAACCCTAAAGGAAAATTCTTGGCTGGTTTATGTGAAGGTGTGAGAACCTAGCTCACAATCTCTCTTTCTCCCAATGCCTACAACCTACCAAAAAAGGAAGAAATGAAGTTCTTTCCTGAGTAAATAAAGGACAAGCTGTTTAACCATTTGAAGCCAAAGCAAAAATATTTGACTGACCAAAAAAAAAAAAAAAGTGTTATATATGGTACATAGCCAGTAAACATTTGTTGAATGAGTAAAAGACAGAATACTTAAGAATTAAATACAGTAACCAATGTAAATCATACACAAAATAGTCCTCAACCACTAGGACTGTTAGTATTCATATTCTTATTTTGAATAGCTTCAAAGGGCAGAACTAAGATAATAAAATATTCTTCCTTTAGTAACATTTCAAAAATGTATTGCCAGGCTTTCCAGTTCCAGAACAAGGAAAGAAGACACAGAAAGAACCTAATAGAAATTTTAAAACTGAAAAATAACTGAAATTTAAAAAGCAAATGGATGAGCTCAACTGTAGAATGCAGAAAACAGAGGAACAACTCAATGAACTTGAAAATAGAACAACAGAAATCACTCAATCTAAAAAACATAAAGTAGACTAATTAAAATAATAAAATAAAATAAAATAAAATAAAATAAAATAAAATAAAATAAAAATAAATAAAATAAGCGAGGCCTCAGGGGCTTGAAGAATTGCAACAAAAGATCTAAAATTCATGTCACTGTAGTCCCAGAAGGAGAGGAAAAAGAAGCTAAGGCTGAAAAAGTATTTAAAGAAACAGTGACTGAAAAGTTCCCAAATTTGTAAAACGTGTAAGCTGAGCCTAATGATTCAAAAAACTACATAAACTCCCAAACAGGGAACACTCAAAGAAATCTGTGCAAGACACACTGTAATCAGACTAAAAACTAAAGACAAACTGTCTTGAAAGCAGCAAGAGAAAAACACCTTACCTAAAGAGGGAAAATAATTTGAATGACAGTAGACTTCTGATCAGAAACTTTGGAGGCCAGAAGAAAATGGAACAATATTTTTAATTGCTGAAATAAAAGAATGTCAACCCTGAATTCTAAACATGGTAAATTATGTCTCAGAAATGAATGACAAATAAAGACGTTCTCAGACAAAAGAAAACTAAGAGACTTTGTCACCAACAGACCTACCCTAAAAGAATGACTAAAGAAAAGTTCTGGAAACAAAAATAAACAAAAAAAGAGGGAACCTGGAAATACTGAGAAGGAATAAAGAACATAGTAAGCAAAAATATGGGTAAATACAACAGACTTTCCTTTTCCTCTTGAGCTTTCTAAATTATGTTTGGTGTTTGAAGCAAAAAGTATACATTGTCTGATGTGCTTTTTGACATATATAGAAGTAATATTTAAGAAAATTACCTTAGAAACAGGGAAAGGCAAAGGAACGTAAGGTATGTAAGGTTTCTACACTTCACTCTAGTAAAATGTAAACACCAGTAGGATGTGATAGTGCATATGTAATATATTATCTAGAGCAACCACTAAAAAAAAAAATCTTTGCAAAGAAATACACTCAAAAACACTAGAGATGAATCAAAATGCAACTCTTAAAAAAATGTTCAAATAACCCACTGGAAGGCAAGAAAAAAAAAGCAGAGAAATAAAAATCAGAGGGAACAGAATACAAAAAAGAAAATGGCAAACAACAAAAAAATGCAGACCAATATCCCTCACAAAC